ATAATACTAACTAGTAAAATAAAAATAAATTTCAAAATATTAGAGTTTTATCTCATTTGTAATTTAATACAACACAAAATATAAAACAGATGTCTTATTAAAATAGATACAGTAATTAATAATTTATATTGCACCATGATACGGATGATATTGGACAATATATTCTTATCCAAAATGAAAATCTTTTTTAAAAATATAAAGGGTATGCAAATTGCAAAGTTTAAATATTAGATTCATAAGTAAAAATGCTATATTGTAGATTAAATTTAGAATTTAAATTTTAGACCTCAAATGGACATAACTTTAAATTTTTCTTAAATATTCTAAGTTGATATTGTGATCCCTATAATATCCCTAGAAAGAAAGACATCCACTCACTATATCCATAAATAAAAGAAAATAACAATAATAATAATAATAATAATACTTACAATCTATTAATCTGAATAAAAAGAGTTCAATTTTTTTAAAATAAAATTTTGAATTTGAGTTTTGTGAATAAAAAAACAGACGTTAAAAGAACTTTCCTCTAATAAGATCTGACACGGTTTGATTTTAAATTAATTTAGATACAATATGATTATTAAATATGAAAAAATTAATATAAATAATAATAATAAAAGGGCCTGCCGCCAGGGGTGCGTAAGTCAGTGGTGTGATACTCTATGGCTATGCCGTTATGGTGTGAACTGTGTGGAGCACTTTAGTGAGGTCGCTCACTCGCTCTCGCTCTCGATTGGTATGTGGGTGGTGCTTGAAATTGCTATTATTTTTTATTAAGCATGACTCGCAGGGATTATTCTCTCTGGGTTGTTTGGCTGAGGAAATTGTTTTGCCTAAATTTAAAGTTATTTATATATTTTTATATATTAATATTATAATAAAAAATAAAAATAAAAATTTTATTTTTTTATTTTTTCTAAAATAATTCTTAATTCGTCAATTTTTCTGTTCACATTTTTTATAAAGAAAAAGTTTTCATCCAATTTTCTTTATGTAAGAAATATTTAACAACTTTGTAATCAACTTTTTCTCTAGTAATTTCTTACCCAATATAAAAATATTAACAATCCAATAAAATTCTAATAAAATGTAACTACAAAACTTATTAACATTTTTATGCAATCATTTTCCAATAATTTTCTTTATAAAAACATTTTTAATAAAAATGGCTCCTAACCAAACAAGCCTTCTTTCAGATAAAAAGGGAAAATTACACATAAACTTAACTACTTGATATTATAAAAATTTTAAATTTTTAACTTTGGTCCTAAATTAATAAGTTACTAAGTAATTTAGTGGATATTAATTTGACAAATAAAAAAAAAAACATGATTCTTGGTTTACTTTAAAAAAGTTACTCTTTCTGTTTAGCTTAAATTTAGTAAATTTAATTTTTAATTTATATTATAGTATTTAAATTTAGTTATTTATCTCTTTAAAATGTTATTTAATATGTTTATTTTTATTTTATTTATATTTTAAAAAATTAATTATAACATATATTAAATAAAAATATTTATTTAAATAATAATTAATTAAAAATAAATATAAATATAAATTATTATTATTATTACTATTATATCTCTAATCTATTAAATAAAAAACAAAGAAAATAAAAAACTTCAAAATTTTGTGAATGAAAAAATTGTGTCGGTGGACTCTAAAGCCCGTATGCGTATAGCCTTTCATTTTAGATCCAACAAAAAGGTCATTTTCTGTCTCTTGTCTAGCCCACAAAGCCCGTAGATGGTGAAAATATGTCCAGGCCCACGAAAATTTTAGTCCCAATCAATATTTAAAAATTAAAATTTTAATTTAAAATTTAAATATTAAATATTAATATTTAAATTAAAAATTAATTATATATTTTAATATAATCCATTTTAAAATTAAAATATCAATATTTTATAAAACAAATTCTTAAAATTTAAATTAAATTTTAATAAAATAAAATAAAATAATTTAAAATTTTAATTTTAATTTATTTTGATAGTTGCAATTACCATACAGTTTTTCTCATAGTTTAGGTTTTTTATATAGGCCAAATCACCTATTTGCCCCTAAATACTTTTTCTTTTCACAATTAACACCCTAAACTAATTTTTCACCCTACCAACATCTTTTATAATTTGAAATATGCTAAAAATATCAAATTATCAATAAAATTATGATGCAAATAAGAGGTTTAATCATTTTTATTTTGTGCAAATAAGGGGTTTGGTTATTAATTTTTGGATTATTTTCTTATAGATTTTAAATTATAAAAGATGTTAACTAGAGTAAAAAATTTTAAAAATGTATACCATCAAAAAATAATATAAAAAGTGTAGGGGTTTAACCCCATATATATATATATATATATATATACAGAGCCAGATGAGAACAGGTCAGAGAGGAGTTCAAATGTCACCTGATGTCAGTTTCTTCCTCGCTGGACATTGCTGCAAGCAAAAAGACACAAACACAAAATATCAGCTCAGCAATTGATACGATACCTTCAAGATTGATCTTTCCAGCATTGCCTTGGTGAGAAATGAAAGAGCTCTAGGATATTGGCACGGCTCAATCAAACAAAAGTGCATGCTGCCTTAGCTAGAGAGACAGTAGTGGGCTAGGTTTTTTCTCATGTCTGAGTGAACCAGGCCAATATCACAGACACTATTTCATGTACATAAAAGAAAAAAAAAAACGACTTTTCTGTTTCCTCCTTCATGCGCATCTGCCTTATTGCCATTTTGTGGGAACCAAAACCCATATATCTTTATTTAGTTTTGAGGATCAAAGAGAGAAGATAGAAGGCAAGTAGAGAGAAAGAGAGAAGAAACAAGAAAGAGTAAAGTGTTAAA